AAATTCTTAATTAAAACCAAGCAAATATATATCAGGTACTTATCCAACATGCTTTGTACCTCTCTCAATGATGCTAAAAATACATGCACTTGAATATTATATTATTACTAGAGGTACGGTGCATGAAATTCGTGCATGGGGAGGGGGTCCCCTCAGCCCAGCCTGCACCCTCTCCAATCTGGGACCCCTCGGGGGATGCATCTCACAATCCTGGACCGCTGGCTCCTAATATCTCACCTGCCTGCCTGCCTGCCTGGTTGCCCCTAACTGACCCCCCCTGCTGGCCTGATTGCCCCTCACTGCCTCTGTGTGCCAGCCTGGTCACCCCTAACTGCCCTCCACTGCTGGCCAGGTCGCCCCCAACTGCCCCTTCCCTGCCGGCCTGGTCGCTTCTAACTGCCCCCCCCATGCCAGCCTGGTCACCCCTTATGGCCCCCCTGATGGCCTAGTCACCCCACATAGCCTGCTGTTCAGTCATTTGGTCGTCCCTCACTAATCCCTCTGCTGGCCTGGTTGTAGGCAGCCATCTTGTGAGGGCATGAGGGTTAATCTGCAACCTGGTTGCCCCTAACTGGTGCCCCCTGCCAGCCTGGACGCCCCCAACTGCCTCACCCCCTGCTGGCCTGGTTGCTCCTCATGGCCCCCCTGCCGGCCTGGTCACCCCACGCAGCCTGCTTGTTCAGTCATTTGGTCGTCCCTCACTAACCCCTCTGCCGGCCTGGTTGTAGGCAGCCATCTTGTGAGGGCATGATGGTCAATTTGCATATTACCTTTATTATATAGGATTACACACAGGGGATGAAAAGATTTCCCTATTATTTCCCCACTTTTTCTCCATTTGCTTTCAATCAAATCCATGCACTCATTCATTTATTCAACAAATATTTATTGAGTGCTCTCCTTATGCCCAGCAAGAGGCTGAGGGATACGAAAAGAATAAAGACGTGGTTCCTGCTCTAATGGGCCCTGTCATCCAATGATAACTGTTTTTCCTCTCCTTCCTTGCTCCTCTGTTATTGTCTATGAATCTACACTCCTCCAACTTTCCTGGTGACCTCAACTTCCTGGAAGGTGATCTTCAATCTCATAATTCTCTGCAGTTTGTTTTTCTTGGCCCAGCTGGGAGATACTGTTAGCTGCAGACCCTCAGATGTGTCACCACTAAGAGCAGAATCCTTGTTTGGGCCACGAGAATCATGGACTTAGAGAGGTTTACAGAGCATATAAACTTCTGACTACCCTCCAAACAAAACCTGGCATGATTCTTCGAAGGCTGCACAATAAATCTTTGGTTTATATGGCTATTGTCTTAGTATATCTTACTCATATTTTCAGAATCAGGGCAATTTTACTTCTGAACTTCCCGTGAGTGTGTGTGTGTGTGTGTGTGTGTGTGTGTAGAGAAGTGGGGGTTTACCTTCATGCTTACATTCTGTATGTTTTAATTCCTCAGTACTTAGTTATCTAAAAGTATGACTTGTTTGCTATGGCTTTGTTTTGCATGCTTACAATTAGAAAGTACTCTGTTTTGGAATAGGGGTTAATTCTTATGCATGCTTGGACTCCCACAGTGTCAAATGACACAGTCATTCTCTATCAGAATGCCCTTGTCCCTGACAGCAACCTGTGCTCTCCTATCACAACAATACAACTGCTGGTTTTCTTGTCCTGTCATTCACCAGGAGGTAAGCACTCTGAGGCCAGAATCCAAGCTCCCCTGTTTACTCTATTTAGCAGGAAATACAGAACTTGTATATTGTAAGTGCTGGACAAATGTTTGTGGAAAACATTAATGGGTCCCTAGACAGCAACTGGAGTCTGTAAGCTAATTTCAATATTTAAAAAAGCCAAACTGACCTCAAAAATTGTTTTCTGAAGTGACTTGCACCTAACAGAAATCCCACATTACAAATAGCAAGGGTTCATGGGGCTAATAAAAAGAGGTCAAGTAATTTGTTTATGGCTGCTACTTAAAAAACAACAACAGTATAATAACATGGTTATGTCATGCTTTTCAAATGATCTAAGTGGCTATGTTTTGTCTTTGACTAATAAAAAATGTAAAAACAAACTAATTGTTTAAATAAGTACATTTCATTTCTCCCAATAGGGTAGAAAAAGATAGAAACTACTGATATGGTAGAAAAGGCACTGCACTGGAGACGTATTTCTAGTCGTGACTCTGGCCAGCTGAGATTTCTCACCTGTAAGAGCAATGTAGAATACTTGCTAACTACTAACCATCATACTGCTCTTCTATTTATCTACTTATAAAGCCCAAATTTCATACAGAGTGGCAATATGCTCACGGAAAAAAACAAAACAAAACTAGATTCCCTGCCTCCCTTGCAGCTAGAGGTGATCACGTGGCACAGTTCTGACCATGCTGCATTAGATTCTGTACAAGGTGGCAGAATGAGTTGGTAGGCACTTTTTTGCTCTCGCTGTTTTCCATCTTTCTGCTTGAAATATAGGTGTAAGGCAGGAGCCCAGTGGCTATGTTGTAACCATGAGTTCAAAGCATAAGGATAAAAACAACCCACTAAAGCATGGATGGCTAAGAGAAGAAATTTCAATCCTTGATGGCATTATACTGCCACTGTAACATAATCCTGAATCACATACTTGTTTTTATATACGAAAAATATGACCTGTTTATTTATATTATCTTTTACTTGCAGCCAAACACATTCTTGGCTGATATAGAGGATAAATTAAACCAGAAGATTCCCAGAGCACTACTCTGAAATTCTATGGTTCTAGATGAAGCTCAGTAAGTGCTTATTTGCCAATTACTTTCAACCTCTGTTTTACCTTGTGCATAGTGCAGGCTCCTCCCCACGTATAAATCCCTAAAGCACAGAGTTGTTCTACTCAGCGCAGGGCATTTAAGTTAAGGATCATTCATTATCTTGTTGTTTTTCAAAAGAGCAAAGACAGGAAAAAACATAACTTTCAAGAAGAAATACTTCCAAGAAACTAAAATATCACTGATGTTTACTCCAAATAATTCTCAAAAGGAGTTAGATCCTTTAAATCACCAGGCAAACTTTAAATTCTTGAAAAGGCAAAGGGAAGAACAAAGATTTTTTCCCAGTTATCATGAATAAGATAAATTTTCATGATAAAATATTTTATTATGTTTGAAATTTTAAGCACTTGTAAAAGAGAGTCTTTAAAAGCCCAAACTTTCAGCTTAAAGTGCACAGTAATTGTAATGTAAAATGACATACAAATGCCTTTATGGAAAGTTAATAGCTTCCCTACTCCCCAAGACATTCCAAAATACTTTAATCCCTTTACCTACTTTTAACTACATAGCTTGCAAAGTATTATCCCCATGATCCAGATGGCCAAACTGAGGCCACAGGTTAAGCGATTTATTGAAGCCACAAAGAAATCCATTATCAGAGAAGAGATTCATTTTAAGAAACCACACATCTCTACCTTCACAACAATGAAAACAGGAAAGTGATTAGAACAGCAAAATATTTTTAAAGCATAGCTTATTCATAGCATATCAAAGCTTTACTTATATAATCTTGCAAAAGTCTTCTTTGGATGAAAGGCCATTGTTCTTCCTCCCCATCTTGGACATTGCTTGTAAAGAAGTACTCCATAAACTAGACATGTATCACCCTTAGCTCCTCTGAAGCAATGAGAACCTATCAGTTTCAGGGAGGGGATGAATGGCTTCTGTGTCCACTTATGTGCCATTTCATTACTTTTTACTTATTCAACAAATATTGTGCATAAAACCCACTGTGTGAGACACAATGCCAGTGGAGGAAATGCCAGGCACAAAAGGCCCCAGGCGTTTAAGGAGTGTGAGATGATCGCAGCTTGGGTGGAGCTGAGGAGGTTTCATGTGGAAAGTAGTACTTGAGCTGGTCTTGGGATGGCTAAAATGTTGACAGGCGAGGGCAGGATGGACAGCATGATATTTTCAAAGCCTGAATGAAAACGAGTGATGAAATTGTTTACATGACTTCTGTACATACTCTATTTCCAGGCACAGTGTGAATGACTACAAATGCATGATTTCATCTACTCCTCAGATAACAGAATTATCCTGAAGTAGAGATTGTAATCTCCAATGGGTAGATGAGGAACCTTTGGCTCAGAGGAGCAAGGTGGCAGGTTCAATTGGTAAAAGTGGTGGACACAGGATTCAAACGCGGGCCCATCTGACCCCTGAGCTTCTGTGCTTGACCACTATGCTATGCTGCCTCCCTTCAAGGCCCTACTTTTCTGCCTTTGCTTTGCAATCTTCAAAGAGAGGTTTCTTTTGTAAAGGGTGGCCACCAGATTTCCACATACAGCTTAGGTTTGCAATGAAAAATAGGGCCACTGTTAAAATATCATTGAGATATGTTACATAGTTATTGCTTCCAAACTGGTCTAGTCAAGGTAGTCCCATGAGAAATTTTAATTTCTTAATTTTAAGGAAGGCAGTGGAGGTCTTGCAACCTGTGTGCGATCCAAAGGTGAATGTACCATGTGACTCTGAGCAAAAGTGCAGTAAAGACCTGTCCCCGACTCCACCCCACCTCTTGCCTGAGGACCCTGATAAAGAATACACCTTTCTCTTCTTCCAGGCCCTTTGGAAGTAAGTTTGTAAGGTTGAATTCTTCTTAATGTACATGTCACATTTATTCCACCCTGGTTTCCTCGGTCAGACTCTCCCTCCTTAAATCTGTCCTCATGTTGCTGAAACATCAACTCTTAGTCCTAGTTGTGATGTTTTCCCTAGCATTAGCTTTCCAACTGGCTCAGAAAAGAATAGAAGGGAATACAGTACTTGCAGCAAATAGTTCTTAAATAATGAGAGGCTAAATACCAACCCTTAAAAAATATCCTAGCCCAAGAATGTCTCATGTTAGCCTATCTTGACTCTATGATTCTTACCCACAAAGATACCACTGAAGAGTTTCATCTCGACTACTCCAATTCCCTTCACCAGACCACTAAGGGGGGCAGGGTGCAATAAGAATGGGTACCTGAGCAGATATTCCAGAAAGGAGAACCGAGGATGCTGGGAACCATCTTGAATTCTGGTGAAAACAAAGAATCTTTGGTATTCCATAATTCTTAAACTAGGCATTTTTCTTTTCCTCAAAAACAATTTCATGAATATGACAGGAGATCCAAACTCATTGTTTTGTAGGCAAAAAAAGTCCACTCTGGTTCAACACGGTGTGGATCATTTGAGAAAACGTGCTTGACTGCCTAGCATGAAGAAGCTCCCAATCATGGCACCCAGGGGTAAATGCTAGAATTATTATAATTTCTAGAATTGTGGTTTTAAAGTGAGACTCACAGGTGGCGTTCTTCATATTTATTGTATAAATGATGATATAGATGCACTTTGCTTTATGTTCCTCAAAAAGTCTCTAGGAATATTATTTTATGGTAATTTCTGCATGAGAATATGAGGTTGGGAGGAAAAGTTTATTCAGCAGTAGTATTAACCCCATGTTATTGGGGAGGACATTAAAAATCCAGGAGGTAAGTGGAAAGCAAGAGGCAGCATACCCAGCTATCCAGGCTGCTAGCATATTGTTCTTCCCAATCCTTACTACATGGCTACATCATGAATCTTTTCTTTGCCTGGAATTCCCCCCCATTCACGTAAGCAACCTTTAAGATTTGACTTTGAGTTATCACACTTTGAAGTCTCTTTATTAGATACAAAGTGGTAAGTAATAGCACATTTCTTATCATCTTCTACATGTTTATTTTCTTGAGTCTGTCTCCTGAACTCAACTGTCCGCTCTATGAGGACAGGAACCACTGAATTCCCAGTAACAGGCTCTCAGGTGAACCTCCAGAGTACCCTCCTCTGAGCTCCTGCAGAAATTTCTGCTTTGAACATTCATTTAGCATTTAGAATATGTGAACCTGACAATAAAAAGATGAGAAACATCACATGCCTTATCTCCTTGAGACCAAAAATCTTCTTTCTGACTAAAAGAGCTTCCTTCACATCTCTTATTTTCCACCACAGTTTAGATGCTTAATGAATACTGAATATGAGGATAATATTATAATACTACCCCATTTCAAGAGACTCATTCTGAATTTGGGGACTGTATAATCCAATTCAGGTACAAGATTTTAAAATTAGAAAACACACACATATTCCCTCTCTGATTATATCGCACACACATACAAGTGGCATCATAAGTTAAGAAAGTTCTCTCAATGATCACAAGATGTTTACAGATGGAGCAAGTAAGTTTCATAACTGTGTATTTAGAAATTGCTTCGCACAATAGTCAGAATACTTATTTCCTTCAGTGTGATTTCTGTGAGTGCATGAGACAGTCCTCTCACTGCCATCTTTCCCTGATATGCACACAGAGTATTTATAAGGAATTCAGATTTGTGGGACTAATAGTAAGATTATTACAAGAAATATCAGTTTTCCCAGGCATATGTCAAAGTAGACGAGAGACTGTTACTTTCTAGGATGTTTTATGATACCAGCTGGTAGATCACAGACCTACCTAAACGAAAATCTGACGGAAGAAAGCAAATGTGGTTACAATTATTCATACTCCTACTGTGGGAGTTTCATAAACAAACTAATAAATATTTCCATCTTGCAATAAGATCAAGTTAAGTGACTTGCTGACATTCTCTTGAGGTTTAAAGCTTGTCTTTAATGTGAAATACAAATCATATTTCTTGTGGACACATTTTAATAATAAACTTAAAAGCACACAAGACAAAAATAATGAAAACATTGCAATGAAAACCAGACCAACTATCTACCACTTCAAAAGGAGTGAATGAAGACTGCTCGTCAACGGTCAACACCGTGATGCAGACAACCTCAATGCAAAATGTTTCAAGGAAAGGGGAGCATCAGGGATGCTAGAATGAAAAAGAAGCTATTACAGTTGACCCTTGAACAAAGTCGGGGTTAAGGGGCACCAACCCACCACACAGTCGAAAACCCACATATAACTTAAGTCGGCCCTCCACGTGTGCCCATTCCCAATTGCTTATTAAAAATACAGTTGACCTCTAAACAACTTGGGTTTTAACCCTCTGAGTCTGCTTATATGCGGATTTTTTAAAGTCTTGCATTGCTCAAGGGTCAACTGTACTTGCTCATCACACACACACACACACACACACACCACTCTTGTGTAATTTACAGAACGAATTTGATTTTGGTTCAATTAAAATGATCTCCCACCACTTTGTAACATCACACTGGCAAAGAAAGTGGTTTGGTCCCTTGTTTGCCTTAGGTTAATGATCAAGGGACTGATGCCAAATCTCTTTGGTCCCTAACACTCCAAAGCTGTCCGCAATGATAAGAAAGTGGAATACTCACTGCCTTCAGGAGCATTCTGGGGGAGTCTCATTGTGTCTCATTTGGCTACTCTGGCCCCAAGGCCATGATCTAAGCAAAACCCAGGGCGCCTGTGGAGTGGCTCACCTCTGGGTCCTGTAATGACAGGCCGGTGGTGCTGTGTGAAAGCTGTTCCCAGGGAGGAGGTCTGCGAAGGGGAGGGGCTGCTGAAACCAGACTTCTCCGACTTCTTCAGTGTTGTTGGAGATGGCATTCCTGGCAAGAAGGATGGATTGATAAGCATACTGTAATTCATGGAACAACAGCTTGTGCAACCTAAAAGATAAAACTTAAAGAATTAAAAAAATAAATCTACCGGCGAATGAAAAATTTGTTTTCAGTTGCTTTGAATTTGTCACAGGGACAAACAGGTGACAAAATGGTCTCCTGATAAGCCTGTAGATAATGATTTCACCTTCTACTAAATCACAGTCCATCTTGGCATCATTGATCTTCTCTAATTACAGGTGCCACTTTCCCAGTGTTTCCTGAAAGTTGCAAGTCCCCTGCGGCCTCTGGGACCCTTCAATAAGGAGGCTATGGAAGCACAAGAAGACCTCTTTGCCATCATTTCATCTTCCCAGGTACCGGGCACCAAAGGCACTTTAAATGATTCTAAGTAATTTAGCTATTTTAACATTTAAAAACCTCCAACAATGGCAACTCGGTTGCTCATTCAATAAATTATTTATAATAGAAACAAAGAAAGATAAAAGTAAAAAATACCTTAAATGCCCAACAATTGTCATTTGATAGAACCAAAGGCAAATAATACTGTAAAAGAATAATGACACGGAAAGGTATTTGTTCAGTGACATAGAATAAAGATATAGAAAGCAATTACAAAATACGGTGTTACACTATGATGCCACTTAAAAATATCATTCTGTGTATAGAGAAGGAAAACAGGCCTAAACTTAACAGTGGTTCTCTCAGAGTGTTGGATTCGGGTGATTTTCATTGCCTCTTTTTGCTTACTTGTCTTTTCCATGATGAACATATATTACTTTTATGTTAAGAAAATACAATAAAAGCTTGTTTTTAAAAATAGTATTTTTACTACAATTTCTAAGTTTTTTCATAGCATTTCCAGCATAGGGAATGTTTTGAGAAGACAATAATGGGAAAATAGTCCCTCATAATTACTGGATTTGTAATGTTCTCAGCAACCACGCTAACATACACAACTGGAGGCATCTATCAGTTTGGTAGGGTGCCAATTAAAACAATGAAACCTTGGATATAAAAATAAAGAAAATGATTCCTAGTCTCCACATCACAGGACCGATTTGGGCTCTCCTAAGTCTGCAGCACAAAGTTGGCCTGCACTTTTGTAAAAAGAACCTAATCTCATTTTACTTATGCATGTCTACATGTGCTGTGTTCTGCCTATGACCAGGGAATTATTTGGGTGAACTGGAAAGAATAAATAATAAAGATAATAATGGTATTAACATGTAGCTGTTATTGCATAGATGCTAACTACCATGCACTGTGCCAAGCATGTTATAGGTGTAGTCTGTTCTGAAATCTAGTCAGTCTGGCCTATGTCTAAATATGTCCTTGCTATATCTGATCATAGATTTCCTTAATGAGACTCTACAACACAAGCTTCTAGTGTGATTACAGATTCTATAAGGAGGAGACCTTTCTGCTTTGCCCCCTCTATTTTCAGAATCTAACAAAGGGCCTGGAACATAGCATGTGGCCTGAAAAGATATTTAAACTAATTGCATAGGCCTCAGCTTTATTTGTGGCTTTACTAATAGATGCTTGGATATAGCAAAACTTGGGGTTTAGGCCCCAAGGGGGGAAGAAAACAAATTGCAAATTGGTAAGCACATTTCCATAGCCAGACATAAGGACAATATGAAGTTATGTGTGATTTCCACTAATTTGACAGATCTAGATCAGATCCATTCTAATCAATATCTCTGCGATTTCAATTAAAAACAAAGTCATTATGTGACTTTAGCTACATTTCTTTGCTCATTGAATCAGTAACCAAAGTCACACCAGTCCTAATATCATTAGGACAGATTGCGGTTTTGGATTAAAATTCATTTCAAGTAAACTAACCTAAGGTCTAATCACATAATTACATCAGAGAGGAGATTTCAAATTAAAAAATTATAGGAGAGAAATAAAGAGCTACCAATACTTAAACAAATCTCCCAATTCATTCAGATCTCTTCTGTGCAAACAAATTTTTAGGCTGCCAGCCAGCCCACTGATTTAAACTCAGTCAAATGCCTGAATTATGTGTTATGAAACAGAAATAGAATAGAAAAATGAAAATGTCAAAAATTTTAAATGGCAGAATTTTTTTTCAGATAGTGGAATCACTGATGAACGCAATATCTAAATTAACTCTGTTAAAGAAAGCAAGCAGTTGGATTCAAGAAAAAAGTTATCATTCCTTTGAAAACTTCATGTGCTCCAGCCCATGTTATTCTAAATGCTGCAGAAATATTTAAATGATTAAGTCCACTATTTACCCTTATAAAAGGTGAGGTATAAGTAAAATTTAAGTAATAACAAGCATCAAGAACGATCAAGTGGGTAAATGGGTTCAACAACAAAATTCAGATCCTCTTGAGAAGGGTTAAAGAGAGAAGAAATATTGTCTGTGTGCAAGAAGAACAAGCCAAACTGTATATAATTTTCTAAATTTATCACAGTCAAGTAATATGAACCCTAAGGCTGTCATGAATCTCAAAATTACTTTGTATTTTCAATTTTTAAAGACCCATATTGAGCACACTTCCTTATTATATACTTTAATATTTTCTCCATATGCATAATGTAAGTTTTGGTTAATTTGCTTCATATACTTAATGTTAGTAAACTGCTTTATATTAATAAACAAGAGAACATTAATCTTGACTTTTGTTTTTGAGATCAACTTTGGTTTCTGTATGTTATTAAAAAACAACAACTCCTTGTTAAAATCTGTTACCAATTAGTTATATACAACTGTTAGACACAATTATTGTATAGATTAATGACTAATTGGCTTTCTCTTAATGAATCAAAACCTTAATTTCAATGTATTTTTTTAGAAGTATCAGATTTTTGAAAAAGATTTAGATAAATTAATGCTACCCCTTTTTTGGAACAGAAAAACTATCACTTCAAAGTTCTCTTCAATATGTAAAAATGAAGACTTTTATAGAATGGGAAGCAGAAACTTAGCATGCTGTTTTGATTCAATGGGACATTTCGTCCTATTGAGAAGTAGAAAAATCCCAATGGTGGCAAATAGAGTAGGAGATGAATTTCAAGAAGCACGTTGGCTTGTCATTGTTTTTCTAACCATCAGACATTTAGAATTTTCTCCACTTTGCCATTTTTCTAAGCTACCTCAGCCATTTCAACTAGTGTACAGTGGACAAAGGAAAACATACATGAAGTTCTAGCTATGTAGTGACTCTTATCCCTGGAAGCAGTTGTGAGCAAGATGCCCACCAGGAAATTCTTGAAAGTATAGGTCAAATACAGTATCCACCAAGAATCTGTTAGATTTCATCATTAGCATTTGTAGTCATCAGAATTCTAAGATGGCCCAAGGTTCTTGGCCCCTGGGGTACAACGTTTTGTATAACCCCCTCCTCTTGAATGTGGGTGGGACCAATGAGTATGATGGATGCCATTCTTGTGATTAGGTGGTTATAAGGCAAAGGTAAAGGGAATTTTGCAGATGTAATTAAGGTCCCTAATCAGATTACTTTTAGTTAAGTTAAAAGAGTTATTATCCTGGGTGGGCCTGACCTAATCAGGTGAACCCTTTTAAAGAGTGATTAGAAGTCAGAGAGATTCTCCTGATGGTTTTGAAGAAGTAAGTGACCATATTATGAAAGGGCCTGTGAGAGGGCCACATGTCAAGGAACTGCAGGGACCTCTAGAGACTAAGTGGTACCCTATTGGATATCCAGCTTTAAGAAAGTTAGGCCTTAGTGTTAAAGCTACAAGAAACTGAATTCTGCCCAGCTGGCATGGCTCAGTGGTAGAGCATTGACCTCTGAACCAGGAGGTCATGGTTGGATTCCCGGTCAGGGCACATGCCTGGGTTGCAGGTTCCATCACCAGTGTGGGGAGTGCAGGAGGCAGCTGATCAATGATTTTCTCTCATCATTGCTGTTTGTATCTCTCTCTCCCTCTCCCTTCCTCTCTGAAATTAACAAAAATAAAATAAAATAAAATAAACAATTCTGTCAACAATCAGGCGAGTTTGCAAGAGGACTCCGAGCTAATGTAGGCTGGACAAAATTTTGATTGCAGCCTTGTGGGACAGACCAAACACAGAGTGACCTGCTTTGCTGTACCCAGACTCCTCACCCATGGAAACTGTGAGATAAGATTTGCATGTTGTTGTAAGCTAGTTTGTGGTAATTTTTTATACAGCAGTAGAAAACTAACATGATATTCACATATAAGACTGTCAGTGCTAGAAATGTGTGCATTAAAGATGCCCACTGTGCACTGATTATAGAATTCCACAAGTTTCCATTATTTTTAGCAAATCTATCTTAGGTTGTGAGGTTTTGCATTAGCCTACACTTGCCTAGAGAAAATGGTTAAGACAGCTTCTTGGGGGCGGGGGTGAGGGGAAGGTCAACAAATGGTTATTTCCAATGGTGTAAACATTTATGAAATTTTCTATTTCCCCCTTATTCTTTCAAGAAACATCAATAGCAAAATAAGATCAAACAACATGGGAAAATTCAAATATAATTCTTGGGGTCTCCTATAACAAATCAAGGTTTGTTTTTGGTAAGTTTTAGCTGCAACCTGACGTTAAAGAATTTTTTTTAAAAAAAGATATAAGGAACAGGGGAAACGTAATTAATTTCAACTCCCCCACTCTTCCAAATTATGAGATTTACCCAACACTTTAACCAAGAACTTTACAGTGACAATTGTGAAGCAAATCCTACAGGAATAACAAGATAGTACAATGCTGTTTTTTTGCTAGAAAAAACTATAACAGGTCAGTGTTACTGCTCAATTGTCAGAGGACTTATTCAAAGATTCATTGTCTTGTGAAAATTATCCCTGGTAAATGCCGTTCAGGACAGCAGGACTTTATCTTGCATGTTGTTGGAGTTTGGGTGATGTAATTCAAGTTGCCAGAAAAGACTTAACTGGTATATGTGTCTTTCTTCAAAACTAAAAAAAAATGTTTAGTTTCAATAATGTTCATTTATAGTCACAAT